AGGCCAGAACAGCTGTTTTCCATCTCTTCTCAGACTAGCTCTATTTTTATCTGGTGACCTTTAGAGAGATCTCCCAGGCAAGCTCAAGGTGCCCTGCTGGGCCCCTCTGGGGAGAAGGAGCTGGAAGATCCTCCCCAGGCTCTGCCATGCTGCCTTCTCTACCGCAGCTCAGGGTGGCCAGGGTATCTTATGGCCAGGGCAGAGCAGTGTTCCCTGGGGCTATGGGTCTCAGACCTCTGCCCTTCTTGGCCTGTTCATGGCAAATTTTGGGTTTTTCAAAGCTGGGGAGAGAAGAGATGGCAGCCTTACGTGGCTGCCCCCAGTCTGTCTTACCTATTTGGAAAGAGGTCCTTGTTAACAGAATATGTAAGTCATGGCCAGGATGCACAGAGGAGACTCCAGTTTTGGATAGAGTTGGCTCCTGACCGCTGAGGAGTCTCACCCTGGAGTGCATCCCATAGTATGAGAAAGTGGGGATGAGGGTGGAAGACCACAGGGCCTGAATTCAGAGACAAATAAACCTGGGCGGAAGTAAAGAGGTATGCCAGTATAGGCCTGTGTTTCTGGCCACCAAGTGAATGTCTCCTTCCTTCAGTCTCAGGCCTCGGCCTAGTGTCTATACCATGCCCAGAAGAATGGGCACTGTTATGTTCATTTTTCTTCACATCTCACTCTGGCCTAGCTCGTGCCTGTACCCAGTGGCCTTGAGGAGCCTGTCCCCTAAACTTGAGTGACTCTGATTCCAATCCCCAAGAATGACATTGGGGAGAATGTAGCTGAGGTCTGTGATTTTCATCGTTGGCTGATGGTACCCCTTGAGGTTCAGAATATCAGAATTCAGAACCTGGGGTACAGGTGCTGGAGTTCAACGAGGTACAAATATATGTAGGTGAAAAAAAACCCAGGATGTTGTTAAAGGCAAGGGATGATGTGATTTGGGGTAATTGGTAGATTTTCCCACACATTAGGGTGATCTAGAGCCCCTGAGTAAGGCTAGGGGAAGCTAGGGTCAGGATGGAATAAAGTCAGGGTTGGGATGGAGTGTTTTGGGATAAAGGGGTGATCTTGGCAGGTTCGTAATGGCCATGGGTTGGGAACCAGGCCCTACTGGGAAGATGAGAGGGTACTGAGGTCAGTCAATAATAAATGAACACATTTACCAAAGCTCTTACCTGCTGCAGCATCCCTTGTAGCTAACTAAGGAGTCCCAGGCTAAGGATGCCTTCCAGAGAAAAGATACTTTTAGACATCTAGCTGATGCTGTGGCATAGATCGGCTTCTACCTGCATTTCCTCAGAGAACCAGCAGGAGGCAGCTTTGAGAAACGACAGTTCTGATCTGCTGTTCTGTCATAGTGACTGCCTTCTGCCTTATGTTGTCTAACACACTAGAACTTGCCTGTATCCTGCCTCATGCCTCTTGTAGAATTCAGAGCAATAAATGCTTTCTGCATTCCTCTGCCTCCTGTGTCATTTTTGCCTTTCAGGAAGGCTTTCTCTTCCTCCCGAACATACATCAGTCCACAGAATATCTGAGACTCATGGTCTCAGAGTTTGGAAGTCATAAGACCGGGTGGAAAAACTTGGGACCACAGAAGTCCTTGGATTGAAGCCTGGGTTCTGTCATTGATTAGCTAGGTGGATCTGAGGACACCATTCCTTCCCCATGTCTCAGCTTCCCCATCTGAGTGATGGGACAGTTGATCTAAGCGGTGTCTTGGAGTAGTACTGTTACAGGATGCTGTTGCTGAAGTGGGCAGAGCCAAGCTGGGGCAGGGTCCAGTCCTCGGCTACTACTTCATTGAAATCAGGGTTCCAGGATGGGACAAGAGTCTCTAGGGGAGGTTTTATGTGAGTACAGGCAACTATAGTGAGACCAGGGTCATCGGGCCCAATTCCCATGGGCCAGCCTTGGCTCAGAGAGAGTGATTGTGTTCCTGCTAATAGATGAGGGCATCCCTTAGTCCTACCCTCTAGATTCAGGCCCAGCAGAGACTGGGCTGAGCAACCCAAGGGGCAGAAAGTTGAGTTCAGAGCAGAGCCCAGGATGCTGTCTCAAATGGGTGTCAGAAAGGTCCACTGGGGCCATCTGCAGTGACAGACTCAGGTGCTTGCCACCCTGTTTCCAGGGAGCTCTTGCTGTGCCCACCCTTCCCTGGGATTGACTTGTGTGCCTCTACCAGGTCATAACTTCTGCTGGAATCTGTCCTGAGTACAGTCAGTATCTGACTGCCGACTGGTGGCTTCACTCCCTTACCTCTTGTCCAGTGTTCAGTGCCTCAAACTATTTCATCCATGATGGAATGAGCTCACAATCTGACTCCCCTCCCTCCACCTCCCACTCCTTCCTTCCCACACCTCCCATTTCCAGACCACCTCCAAGATGTGGGCATTATTCAAGTGCCCCTCAATACCTCCTCCTCCTCCCTGCCCTTTCTGTCTCCACCCTGAGCCAGCTACCCCCCTATCTCTCTCTTGGCTACCGCACAATCTCCCTGCCTCTAGTCTGGCCCCCTTCAACCCTGTATGTGTTCAGCAGCTGTGTCTCTGGAAAATGTCAATCTCATCACCACACTCCGCCGGCTTAATTTCTTCATCAGCCCTTTGTAACACAATTTCCTTTTGGAAATCTGGCCCCTGCCCCCCTGTCTGGTCTCAACTCCCAGCACCACCCTCAGCTCCTATCTCTGCCCCTGCAGGCCAACCCTCCACAGTCTTTGCGAGAAGAGATCTATCCTCCACCAGCAGGGTCCCTGGCCCCTCTGCCTGGTGAGCTGCATCCTCCAAGATCCAGTGCCAACGTCTCCTCTTCTGGGAGGCCTTCCCAAGGCTCCACACTGAGCTGGCGCTGTGTTCCTTGCTCCTTGAGCTCCTTCAGAAGCAATGCTAGAGATACAGTAGCCCAAAGGCTGGTCTAAGCTAGCTAAGCTCCTTGAAGATAGAATCCTGGCACGTTTGTTTTTAGCCCATGGATAGAGGCTCAGGGAATATGAGAAGATAGTAGGGAGGGAGAGAAGGAGAAAGGGAGGGAAGGAAGGCCAGAGGAAGGAAAGGAGGAGGGAGGGAGGGAGGAAAAATCAAGAAAAGATATTGGGGACCAATTCATTCATTTATTCCTCCATCCATCCAGTTCATTCACCCAGCAAACATCTATTGACTCCCTATTAGGCATTACTCTAGACACTAGGGATAGAGCAGTTACCAAGCTTCCACGAACACAGCCAATCTCCAGCATTCCCAGGTGACCGAAGAGTTCTAATGTGAACGTGTGTGCAGCCAGGGGGTGCAAGCCCTTCTGTTTGCAAGGGCCTGCTGCCGGGGCACCTGTCTTCCTTCCCCAGAGCCCAGCGCCTTTAGCATCTGGCCCCAGCTCCTGTTGCAGCCCGAAATAAGGCTGACCCACGGACAAGGCGAGAGTGATTCTTGTCAGCTGAAGCCGGCACTGGCTGTAGGGCACACCCTGCTCACTGACCGCTGACCAGGGAGACCGCAATAGGCGCTGACCATACAACTCCAGCTCCCCCGACCGAGGTGTTAGTCTTGAGTGCCTGACATTCCTTCCCACCTACTGTGGCCCCATCAGGTACAGGCATTATCCTCTCATCTTTGGGAGCTCTTGGGACCTAGGGGGAGTGGGCAGAGGAGATGAGGTCATTTTTCAGGGCCTTGCAGGGGATCTGGGGAGTCTGGGCCTCACAGAGCCCTAGGGTCTGCATTAGGAGGAAGAGAACTAGAAGTTCCCAGGGTCCTGGACATCAGATGGGAAGGCTGGGGTTAAAGGTGATGGAGAGGTAACCGCTCTGCTGTCTTCAGGATCATTAGGCACTGCAGAGAGACAAGTGCCTGACTGTAAATTAGGGGCCCTGTTCAGATCCTGTGAATGTTTATCTGGGGACAGATCTGAGGACTATAGTGTCCTAACTCAGATAAGCCACAGTCAATTGTCTTGTGACCCTAACCCTCCATTGTGTGCAGACATGCTCCGATTTGCATTCAGTTTTAGAGGTCCATGGATATCTGGAAGCCCATTCCTATGGTTTAGTCTAACCAGTGCTGTTAAATTACAGAGGGGGGAAACTGAGGCACAGAGCTGGTGATTACTTGCTCATACTTGCAGAGAAAGTCAAGGGAGCCTCCTGGACTCAGCTCAGTCAGTGTCCACCAGGGTCCTATTGTGTATGGGGACACGGACGGAGCATAGAAAGACCTGGAAGCCAAGAAGAGGGGCACTGACAGGGACGGGCAGGGATGAGGGACTCAAGGTTTCCTTTTCTGACCCATGTTAGGGAAACTGGGTTGGGAACTCACACGGGTTCTCCGGGGCTTGGATTTGTGAATCTGCCTCAAGATTCCTGGAAAGCAAGAGAGGGGTGAAGGAAGAGAAAGAGAAGGGATGACAGGAAGGGACAGCTGAGGGCTGGGGCCTTGAGGTGGTGCTGGGAACTGAGTTAGGTGGGCAGGGGCCATATTTCCAAAAGGAGAATGTTACAAAGGGGACTGGAGCGAGGGAGCTGGTAGAGTTGGGTGGTTATATTGGCGTTTACCAGAGATAACTCTGCTGCCATGGAAGTAGCTCAAAGGTGGAGAGACAGGGGAGGACGTGATGGTTTTGCCCATATTATTGGGCTAGCCTCAGGACCAAGTACCAGTGTGTAGAGTCCAGGGTAGCCCTGGCCTGATTCACGATCCCCCCAACTTCTTCCAGCCTCCAGTTAGCGCTCTTAGGTCAGTAGATGACAATTGTGCCTGAAGGCATGGGGACAGGACCCTAGAGAGAAGCCCTTAAAGAGAGTGATTTCCCAGTAGACTGGCCTCTGCCTTGTGTGGCCTCCTAGTCCACAGCCTCCTTCCTGTAGAGACCTCACAGGCTCTTCAACTCCTCTAGCCTTTGTTTGTGACTACGGTCGGCTCAGGGCTGGGGCTGGGGGACAAGGACTTAGAGGAGGTTTGGGGGGAAAAGGAGGCTTCCTGGGCCATTTGTGGGCATTTCTTCTCCACAGGATGATCCCCAAGGAGCAGAAGGAGCCAGTGATGGCTGTCACGGGAGATCTTGCTGAACCAGGTAAGGTGGACCCAGCTCTTTACGTTCCACAAACTCCTCTTGATCTCAGGTCAGGGCCATTCAGGCCGGCCGGCCCCAGGGCTCGGGGAAGCAAGTGAGGGTTCCACAGCAGTCTCTAGACAGATCTGTGGAGTATGCCCCTGGGCTAGGATACTTTGTGAGGTGTTTGTGGGAACGTATCCTTCTCCACGACAGCTGGGTACCCCAGACTGGTCCTTGGTTCCAAGACCACCCTGTTCCCAGCCCTCTCTAAGGCCAAACTGAACTTCAAGGACTCCCTCTGGTTCCAGATTCAGCCCAACCGTGAGTCTCATGGAGAGACCTGGGGGCAGGACAGGTAGCCCCACCCCATTTCTGGAAATAGGAGTGTGTGTATGGTAGGGCGTGGGGCAGAGGGTGTGTGTGTGGGGGGGGGGCGGGAGAGAAGGTGGCTCGGCTGGCCTGAAACCATTTTACTAAAACATGGCTTAACTTTGTGAACAAATCACCCCAAATCCATGCTCGGCAATTTTATAAGGCCCCTTTGAGAACTCCCATTATAATCTTGGAATTTATTAGAGCACGTCAATTACTCTAAAAATTAATCCAGCTAAGTTGGGAGTTTCAAGCCTTCATGTGACCTCAATGGCTCTGTGTTGCTGGTTAAAATCCACACCCACAGCATTGGGACCATGGTTTGGGGTGGGGCCCACATCATTCATTGTCTTTTGGACTAATGCCCAGGTGACTGGCACAGATGGCAACAGAGACACTGATAAATAAAGGAGCCTGAGCTCCTTTGCTGTTTTGTCTTGGCCAGAGACTGAAGGACTCAACAATTGTGTTGCGTGGCTTAAAATTTTATTTTTAGAAATAATTTTTTTGAGACAGGGTCCCATATATCTCAGGTTGGTCTCAAACTTGCTATATAGCTGACAATGACTTTTGAGAGTGTAATGTGGTGGGGGTGGGCAGGAGCAGGTGGATGAGTGGGTATGTGAATGTGTGTGTGTGTGTGTGTGTGCGCACGCGCGCAGGGAATGACGTTGAATGTCCTGCTCTATTATTTTCAACCTTATTCCTTGAACCCAGGGTCTCCCACTGAACCTAGAGCTCGACTGAATAGCCAGCAGGCCCACAGGACCCTTGGTCTCTGCCCTCCAGCAGTGCTGGGATTTTAGGAGTGCAGTTCTTCACATGGGTGCTTGGATTTAAACTCAGAGCCTCATGCTTACACATGCTCATACCCATTGAGCCATCTCTCCAGCCTCCAGGCTGGTTTCATGTGGCTCTGGGACTCAAACTCGGAGCCTAGTGCATTTTAGGCAAACACTAACAACTGAACTGCAGCCTCTGCCTTGTATGGATTTATGTGGGAGTTATTCTTTTAGCCTACGCTGTGTGTTCTTACCTCTTTTTGTTGTCATGTTTTTATGACCCCCCCCCCCCACTTTTGGATGCTAAAGATCAAATCCAGGGCTTCATGTATGCTAGAAAATCACTCTACCACTGAGTCACACTCCCAGCCTGTATCTTCCGAGACTTTGCCTGCTCATATATGGGAGCTGTGGAGTATTGATGCTTCAGCTGACAGAGTCATGCAGTGAATTTTATGTCTCTTACCCATGTAGTTAAGTACAGACCCCCAAATATTGACACACATGATTTACACTAGACATGATTATTGTTATGACATGTATTAGTCATCTTTTGTTGCTGTGATAAAAATCCATGACAAAGGCAGCTTGCAGAAGGAACAGTTTGTCGTGACTTACAGTTCCAGAGGGAGAAGCCATGATGGAACGGGAGGCATGGCAGCAGGCAGCTGGAGCCGGAAGCTGAGAGACCACATCTTCCACATCAAGCAAAAAGCAGAGAGAAAGTACTCGTAGCGGGGTCATGTTACAATCTCTCGAAGCCAGCCCTCAAGTAACATACTTTCTTCAGCAAGCCCTATCTCCTCAAGATTTCATAACCTTCCTAAACGGTGCCTAGGGATCGAATATTTAATTTTAATCCTGAACTTACGGGGGACATTTTTCATAAACCATCACAGACACTAATGACATTTTCAGATTCAAGGTAGCCGTTGGAAAGCAATAGCAATTGCTGGGCTGTGGCAGCATACCTCTTTAATCTCAGCACTCAGAAGGCAGAGGCAGACAGATTTCTGAGTTCGAGGCCAGCCTGGTCTACAGAGCAAGTTCCAAGACAGCCAGGGCTACATACAAGGAAACCCTATCTCGACCCCCCCCCAAAAGCAATAGCAATCAAAACGCTTACCATTATTTCTGGGTGTTATGGGGCAGACACTGTCTTAGAAGCTTTTATGCATTAAGCCATCTGAACCTCATAACAGCTTTAAGTTACATATTACCATCCCGGTTCTGCAGACCAGAAACAGGGCTCAGAGGGGCCGGGTGTCCCTGATTGGTAGGTAGCAAAGCCAGGATTTGACTGCTGGTCTCTCTGTCCCCAGAGCTGCTGCTTCTACTATGGTTTTGTAAATAACACATCTGATGAAAATACAAGTGGCCAGAGAGATGGTTCAATGGTTCCAAGCACTGGTGGCTCTTCCAGAGGACTGGGGTTCAGTTCCCAGAATCCATTTGGGGGCTCACAACTGTTTATAACACCAAGTCTAGGGGATCTGACACTCTCTTCTGGCTTTGTATGCATGTGGCACACAGGCATACATTCAGGCAAAACATCCAAACACACAAAAAAAATGGTTTTTGAAAAATTCAAACAAAATCCACATGAATGGCTTTGGAAGTTCGTCATAATGAAACAATTAGAATATGCTAACCACTGTCAGCATACTGGTGTGGATTCTTCTGCTCAACATTTTTTATATGAACACATATACATGGATTATGTCCTCCAGTTGTCTTTCCATCCTGACATGATTTCTCTTTCTGCAGCCCCCTCTGACTGCTTCCTTAGCACATCACTGTTGGGGGGGAACCTGTCATATTTATCCAACCAATTCGTGATGGTGGTCCCAAAGCTTGCCTTACGTGGGATCCTTGAAAGAAGAGTCTGGGTGCTCTTGTGCAGAGGGCTGACTGGGGATAGCTTAGCTGTAGGCTGATTCCTTGTTGACAGTGGCAATGGGGGCAGGCGTATGGTTCAGTGGGTCAAAAGCATTTGCCACGCAAGCATGGAGACCCGAGTCTCAACCCCCAGCACCTATGGAAAATTCAATGAGCATGGCTGCAGGTGTCTGTAACCATAGCATCAGGAGGCAGAGACAGGAGGGTCCACACAGTATCAGGAGGCAGGAGAGTCTTCCCCTGAAGAGCATGTCCCCTCCTCCATCTCCAATTCCTACAACCAGAAGAAAAGTAACATTCCCTATTTGTCACAAAATATTAGCACATTGAACAGAATCAGCAGTAATGATTTAGTGCTATCTAAGAACTAGTCTGTATTCAGATTTCTTACACTGAATGGTTTTTTAAAGTTTTTAAGTTGGCGGTGGTGGCACATGCCTTTAATCCCAGTCCTTGGGAGGCAGAGGCAAACAGATCTCTGACTTTGAGGCCAGTGTGGTCTCCAGATTGAGTTTCCAAAATTTTTTAAAGATGTATTTATTTATATTTTATGTGTATGGGTGTTTTTGCCTGCATGTATCTGTAGCATATTCATGCAGTTCTTGCATGGCCAGAAGAAGGTGTTAGACGCCTCCCACCCCTACTCCCTGCCTCGGAACTGGAATTACAGTTGTGAGCTGCCTTGAGGATGCTGGGAATTGAACCTGGGTCCTCTGAAGAGCAGCTAGTGTTCTTAAATGCTGGGCCATCCCTCCAGCCCCGATGTGTAGAACCCAAGGGAGGCACATGGTTCTTATTTGGTTGCGATGTCTCTTAAATGTCATGTAATCCAAAACAGCCTCTCTCCTTTTCTTTCTTTCTTTTTCCGTCTCCTCTTGTTTGAAGAAACTAGACAGCTGCACAGCTGCACTCCCTGAACATCCTACATCCTGTTTCTGGCTCATTACCCCCTTGTTCCACTGTCCTTCTCTCTCGAGCCCTCCCCAGTCACACTTTCACGGCCAAATGCTCTAGGGACACGCTTTAGTGGAGATTACCACTGACCCCAACTTGGTAGCTCTGACGGTCAGTCTTCGGGTCTCATCTGGTTTGACACGTCAGCAGAATTTGACTCCTTGGGCTGTCTGTCTCCGAAGTCTTTCAGGAGTTGGTTTCCAGGTGCCCCCTCATCCGCACTTTTCTCCTTGCTGGCCCCTCTAGGTTTCAAGGGCGTTTTCCTACTCGGCTGAAATAGGGCTAAGTTGTTGGCTCTCTGGATCTGTTTTGCTTTCTCCCTGACCTCATCCAGCCTCCCAGCTTAAAATGTCATTTATTCACCTGACACAAGAGGCTCTGTGTCTGATTTTATTGTGTATGTATGTATGTATGTATGTATGTATGTATGTATATATATGTATATATATAATATTTATATATTTCTGTGCTGGAGAGATTGGCATCAGGGTTCTCTGCACATGCTAGGCAAGTGCTCTGCCACTGAACAGCACCGCCTGTATCAGATGTTGAAGACTGACAATATTAGCTAAGCTGCCCCTACAGAACCCTCTCCCACCTTAGCACGCCATCACTGTGTCTCCCAGGAGGTGTCCTTTGCTGATTAAATATATACTTATGCCTTTTGCTCTCATGGAAGTACAGGCCACAGGGACGGGACTCAAACACTTAAGGACAGTCAGCAGCCCCGAAAATCCTCTAAGTGGGGATAATGACTGATTCTAACCACAAGAAGAGAGGTAAATATAATGCTCTTCATTGACAAGCAACACGAGACAGGCCGGAGGGTGCATACTTGATCATGGTAATCCTCAGCTACACGGCAAGTTCAAGGACAGGCTGGGCCACACAAGACTGTGTCCAAACACAGAGGGTAAGGACACTTGCTGCTGAGTCTGATGACCTGAGATCTATCCCCGGGTCCCACATGGTGGAGTAAGAGAGCCGACTCCTGCATGTTGTTCTCTGGCAGCCACAGGTGTGCTATGACACACCCCACCCCCTATAATTTACTAAATAAATAGATGAGTATAATAAAAACAACAAAAAGGAGAAAAATGGAAAGAAACCTGAAAACAACAGCACCAACAAGTATCTTTTATAATAAGATCATGATGCCTCAAATTTTGATCTTTTCCTTTGAACACTGGCATTAGACGCTCAAGTCCCTCCTTGGCGTTTCCACTTGAATGTCTGTAAGACTCCTCGGGCTGGAAAGGTGTCTTTGCTGTTGCTTCTGTTACTTGTTTGTTTTTACAGGCACTTACAATGTAGCCCAGCCTGCCTGAACACAGTCCTTTCTCATTAGCCCCCAAGAATAGTCCCAAGTTATCAAATCATTGGGAGTGTTTGAATAAAAGTAGGTAAAGCCAAAATGTTGTCTTTGTTTACTTTCTGCTGCTGTGACAAAGACACCTTGACCAGAAGCAACTTGGGGAGAGGAGGGTTTACTTGTTTATATGTCTTGATCACAGTCCATCATGGATGGAAATCAGGGCAGGAACTAAATCGGCAGGAATGTGGAGGCAGGAACTGGAGACCCATGGAGGGATGCTGTTTACTGGCTTGCTTCCAGTATAGTGGAAATTAATGAGGCAATTCCACATAGTTTATCTGATAGTCAAAAGAGGTTTATTTTGCATAAACTTACAGCAAGCAAAGGGGTCGGATACGGGATCCAGGAGTGGTGGGGCACAGTCCAATGCGGTTCTCTGGAGAACTCTGGCTTGGTCTGCAGTCCCACATCCAGCATCCAGCATCCAGGATCATTAGGCAGCCAAGAGAGAGCATGAGCACATATGCATCTCAGGTCTTAAGGGGTCCCTTTCTCTGCCACACCTCGGGCAGGGGCAGGTATCTTGCAGTTACCTGCTGCCTACTAGGGGCAGTGCTTCAGGGTAAAGCACAGACAACCACCCTTACACTCCAGGACTTGCTCAGACTGCTTTCTTATACTACCCAGGGCCACCTGCCCACGGTTGGGATCACCCACAGTGGGCTGGGCCCTACCACATCAACCAAGAAAATGTCCCACAAATTTTTCTAAGGCTAATCTGATGTAGAAATTTTTTCAGTTGAGGTTTCCTCTTCCCAGATGACTCTGTTTTGTGTCAGGTTGACAAAACAACCCAGCAGCACAAATATATTCACTTGGAAAAAGGAAACTCTTTGATAAATCACATCACAAAGTATTTTTTGCTATGATTTCACTGAATCTTATAAAACTATATAGTGATTGAAAGGTTAGGAAAGGGTGTACACTGGGGTGTACATCTCTGGGTGGCAGATAATGTTATTTTTCTTCTTTCCTTATATCTGTACTTTATAACTTTTTAAGACAGTTATGCTGTTTAAATAATGTTAAAAGACAATTTTTAAAATAACAAAGACAAAGTTGGACTTGCCAGTATAGGTATATGTCTGTAATGTCAGCACTCAAGAGGGGAGGTAGGAAGATCTGAGTTCAAGGTCATCCTCACCTAAATAGCAAGTTTGAAGCCAGCCTGGGTTACCTGAGACCCTGTCTCAAAAACCAAAAATGAATATAAATAAATAAGTAAAGAAGTAAAAGAATGTGCCTCAAGCCTTACTCCTCATCTTCCCCCAAACCATCTCTTCCTTCATCTCCATCTTGGTGAATGGCGGCTCCACCCTCCCAGAGGCTCTGGTCAGAAGTCTTCCCCTTCTCTATCTCTTATTGTGGCTTCCCTTAACAACAGCAAAACAAAACAAAAACCTCAGCGTCTGATCCTTTCTCACCACCACTATAGGCAAAGAAGTGCGAAGGAAATTCACGGAGTAAGTATAAATGCCTCTGAAACAGCATTCAGCATCACTGAGCATGTGCCCACCAATCTCTGAGGTGCCTTTCTAAACCCTCAGATGGCAAACGTTCCAAGGAATGATGGTGTCTAGTGATGGCAAGTGTGAGGCTTGGGGCTGCCCAGGAGTAGTGACAGGGCTGCTTTGAGGTCAGACAGTAAGAGCCCTCTCTGACCTCTCCCACAGTCCCTTCGCTGGACCTGGGGAAGAAGCTGAGTGTGCCTCAGGACCTGATGATCGAGGAGCTGTCCCTCCGCAACAACCCGGGATCCCTCCTCTTTCAGAAGAGGCAGCGCCGGGTGCAGAAGTTTACCTTTGAGCTTTCAGAAAGTTTGCAGGGTGTGAGTAAGCCATCATGTGCTCTTGGGGGGAAATCAAGGGGCAAGAGGGAGCCAGTGGTTAGTCTAAAGCCAGGGAGCCAGACTGAGGATGTCTGTGGAGGGTGGAGGGTGGAGGGTGGGTGGAGTGGGGTGTTCTGCGTGTCCACATTAGATTATGCTTTGGGCTGTTTACATCATGACAGATGCGGTTCAGACTTCACTTGGTCTTAGGTAGGGAATGGAGAAGGAGAAGACTGTAGAAGAACTGGCTGACATAGAGACAAAGTTAAGAATGGGGGCATGGTGTGGCTCAGCTGCGTGAGTGCTTGCCTAGCATGCAAGCAGGTCTGGGTTCCACCCCCAGACACACACAAAACCAGTGTGGTGCTACACACTTGTAATCCTGGCATCTGAGAGGTGGAAGCGGAGAGATTAGGGTTTCAAGGTTGTCCTTGGCTACAGAGCAAGTTCAAATCCAGCCTGGGCTACATAAATAATCCTGCCTCAAAATACAACGAAATAATGGTTTGCTGGTGGCAGGTAATTTTGGAAAATCTAACGAAGTCCGGGGCATTTCTCCCTTTACCACTCAAGTTCTGGGCCTTACTGGAGTGGGGAAGAGTCGGGAGGAGAGAGATGGCACGTGGCCCTGTTGACTACGTGCCTGAGACAGTGTTTGCTAGGGGCTCCACATGTAGGAGGTGGATATGTCAGCATTATCATACCATCAGTATACCCACCACCACCACCACCACCACCACCACCACCACCACCACCACCACCACCACCACCACCACCACCCCAAGAAGGGAATTGAGGCTCAAGAAGTGTCTTATTCTGACTAGATTTACAGTAGCAAAGACTGCTATTGATATTTCTCCATCACAGGCACTGGCTCACCCCTGTAAACCATCTACATTCCCAGGCTTCCCCCGCCTCCTACATTCTCCCTCCACATCCCTTAGGAGGTGGTGATGAAATCCTGGCCTCTTGCTTCTCTGAGCGTCCCTGCCTGATTATTTCCCCCCACAGATCCTGGCGGGAAGTGCCCGAGGAAAAGCGGCTGACAGAGCGGCGCTGGGGACGGTGAGGAGGGACCCCTTCCTCCAGGGACAGCTATGGGAAGGGACGGGCCGCTAAAGAGCGGCTGGCCATCGCCTCTGAATGCTCGCCCCTGTACTCAGGTTCCCAATGGCCCAGAGGAGCAGAACCACCGCTCTGAGCTCCACGTGTTCCAGGGGCCACCGGGGGACCCCAGGATCGCCCATCCGGGAGTGGCTGGGGTCGAGTCGGTCCGTAGTCCAAGCGCCCTGGCGCCAGGTGAGAGGCCGCCCTGTGTCCTGGGGCACCGATGGCTTAAAGAGTCGCCGCCAGTGTCCCGGGTTAGTCACAGCGAATCTGTGTCTCAGCGCAGGCTGGAACCCCCTGTTGCAGACCTCCTGGGATCGGGAGGCTGCCTTGTGCTCACATACCCGACCCCTATACTTCCGCTCTCTTGACGCTTCTCCCCCACCCTGGCTATGCTCGCCCGCCCGCGGGGTGGGATGGTAGAGCCCAGGCAGTGCCTGTCACCAGCGCCACTCCACCCCCAGGCTATGCGGAGCCGCTAAAGGGCATCCCGCCCGAGAAGTTCAACCACACCGCCATCCCCAAAGGCTACCGGTGTCCGTGGCAGGAGTTCGTCAGCTACCGAGACTACCCCAGTGGCGGCGGAAGTCGCACCCCCGTTCTCCGCGACTATCGCAACTTCAACAAGTAAAGCCAGGCTGCATGGGACGCACAGGGTGGGGAGGCCTGCGTTCTTTCTGCTTGCTAGCTGTAGCCCCAGCCCTCTGTAGATGTTTACTGAGACCTTGCTAGAGCAGTGCCTCACACCTATTACATGTTCAATAAATTGTGTGTGTGTGTGTGTGTGTGTGTGTGTGTGTGTGTATGTGTAAGGTGAACATGATACACCTCCATCACATATTGCAAGTACCAGATTCCCCTCATTCTACAAAGGAAGAGACGACGCTCAGGCATATGAACACCCTGCTCAGTCACAGAACCCGGAGGAGGGGGCAGCCCTGGGCTTCAAGTCCCAGAAGTCCGGGTTGCCTTGCTCTCCATTCAGCTCTGGGACGGACATCAAAACTCTGTCCTCCTCTGGGGACACCTCCAGATCTCACCAGTTCTAGGCTCACCCTGCCTTTTCTTTCACCAGTAGTATGGAAAGGGCCTGGAAGGTGGCTTCGGGGCTGTGGAAAGCAGGAAATAGCACCAGAGGTGGGGGGCCTGCTGAAGGAGTGGCCTGTACTGATTTAGTGCATGGCTTTAATGCATTTATGCAGACTCCAGACCGAGCTGTGTGGCCCTGGACAAGGAACTTAAACTCTCTGCGCCTGTCACTCCACCTGTAAAATGCAGCATTCTCAAGTACACAAGGCTGCTGTGGAGATGATGTGAGAAGTCCTAGGTGAAGCTTCTGTCAGACAATAAGCTAGCTGCTTCTAGGTCTAGGGCTGCTACTGCGATTGCCGCTTATAGGCAGAAATGACGGGGAAAGTGGATGGGCTAATGGGGCAGAAACAGGGGTAGCGCTTCTCTGGGAGCCTGGAAGCACAGCCGGAGTTCCAGAAGGAGGTGGATCGGCCGAGGGGCCCCAGCTGGGGGTGTTTCCACTGCAGTTGTCTTTTGTTGTTGTTGTTGTTGTCCTGAGGCTGTTTCTGAACATGTTCCCTCTGGTTTGGGCTGCCGTGAGTGAGAACAAGAGGGTTCAGAGAGAAGAAGGCTGCCCGCTAGCCGGCTTGGTACCTGCTGAGACCACACACATCGGAGATCGTCTGAGAGGCAGGCACTGTGTGGGAGGGCCTGGCCAGGCCCGAAGAGAAATGCTGTAAGGATAGGGTCCTTGAGAATACACAGTAGAGAGGGACTTGGTTATTCTAAACAGCTGACTGGGCGAGGAGGGCGCCGGTAGGAAGGACTGGGCGGAAGAGTCTGTGAGAGCCTGAAATTCTCCACCAGGCAGAATTGCTGTCTCTCCAAGGCCCTCACCGGACGCCTGACCACCTATTCAACCCCACAGCAGGCAGGCTCAGTCTTGGCAGCTGGCTTCCTGCCTGGCTGAGGTGGAGGCATTCCTCACTCCTGCGTCTCAGAATGGCAGCTGAGGTACTCTCCTAGCGGCAGAAGGGTCCTAGGGAGGCCCCTTCTGGGACAGAAGGAACAACTGAGGTGGCAGAGGAGGAATAGCTCTCTGGTGGACAAGCAGGGCCCAGCGGGGACTCTGGATTCCCAGTCCTGGCTGTGAGGCCTGCTGGCCTCAGACACTGCCCAGCCTGCTCTTGAAGGGTTCAGCTGTTGCTGGCAAAGCTGGGGGAGCCAGTACTGCCCTGGCAGGATCCCAGACCCTGGCCAAGGTTTGCAATTCCACCCAGAGGCAAACCCCTTTCCACTAGTCCCCACGGCAGGGGAATTCTAGGAATATTGCTTTCTGTATTCTTCCTTTCTTTTTCTTCCTTCCTTCCTTCCTCCCTCCCTCCCTCCCTTCTTTCTTTCTTTTCTTTTCTTTTGGTTTTTTGAGATAGGGTTTCTTAGTGTGCCCCTGGCTGTGCTGGAACTCACTCTGTAGACCATGGTGGCCTCAAACTACAGAGATCCACCTGTCTGTACCTCCCAAATGGTGGGATTAAAGGTGTGTGTCACCACTGCCTGGCATGTATTGGTTAAAATAAAAAGGACTGTGAATACAACTGAGGGACTGAGCACTTGCCTAGCACACGTGAGACCCATGATCAATGCCCAGCACTGCTCTCTCCCAGCAAAAGGCTTAAAATCACATACAGCATTAGTCAACTGTGAATGAAAAAAAGAAGTAAAAAAAGAAAGGAAGCCGGGCAGTGGTGGCGCACGCCTTTAATCCCAGCACTCAGGAGGCAGAGGCAGGCAGATCTCTGTGAGTTCGAGGCCAGCCTGGGCTACAGAGTGAGTTCCAGGAAAGGCTCCAAAGCTACACAAGAGAAACCCTGTCTCAAAAAAAACCAAAAGGAAAGGAAAGGGACATGACTGCTCCTAGGTATGGTAGAGAATTTACTGTTGATATGTGGGAAAGCATAACCAGAGGCAGGGAGCAGGAGAATCCAGAGTGAACACGACCCTGAAGTAAAGACAGGATCCCTTTGTTGGCCACTCTCCAACGTTGCGTTTCCTTTGCAGTGGTAACAAGGTTGCCAGGATGCCCTATGATCACAGACGGTTTGTACCCGCCATTGCCAACCAGAGGGTGATTGCTGTGTGTGTGTGTGTGTGTGTGTGTGTGTGTGTGTGTGTGTGTGTGTACGGACACTTTGTTTCATTTTGTAGCTTCCTTTTTTCACTCAGCTTTGTGCTTTTGAAACCCACCACTCTGACACAGATGTTTCCCTTTCCCTTGAGTTTCTGTGTCTCTGGCTTGTCCGCCCTTACCTACCTCCGAGGGTGTGGGGCTACTTCCCGCTTGGTAACGCTCTGCTGTCTGCTTCTCCACGCAAGCACGCAGGAGCCTCCCCCAGCCATATGCTTAGAAACAGAGTTGCTGGGTGACAGTTTACACGTTTCCAGGTTGAAAGCGATTCTGCTAATTTGCCCTCTGAGGTAAAAGCACCGATTTATCCACAAACCAAAGCAGCAGATGATGAGTGAAGCTTTGTCCCCGCCTTACGTGGGGGGGAAGTGGTGGGCTCTGCTTGTCACTTGGCAATTTCTCATTCTTGGTGCTCCTCCAAGTCCTCTGTCCTCCGGGTTGTGGGTATTTTGTTGTAAGGGAAAGTGGGAAAAAGAAAGAGAAATCCACTTTCCAGTGTTGTTCTCTTCTGGCATTGACTGGAGGGGAGCCTAGAACTTTGCCTAGGCCACTTCTAACTCGAAACCTCCTTGTTACTTCAACAGGGAACAGATTTGGATAAGGCAGGACTAAGGACCAACTAATGATAGTATAGATCTTTGCTGCCTAGAAGGGGAAACTGAGGCCTCGAGAGAGGCTGGGTGTGAGCACACGTGCACCTATGTCTGTTACCTCTTTTACACAGCCCATCTCTCCTGTTTCTCTTTTCCAGGACCCCAGTGCCATTTGGAGGACCCCGTGTCGGGGAGACCATTTTCCAAGCAGGCACCCCCTTTGTCCCAGAGCCCTTCAGTGGCTTGGAACTCCTCCGGCTCAGACCCAGTTTCAACAGAGTTGCTCAGGGCTGGGTCCGGAAGCTCCCTGAGTCTGAGGAGCTGTAGCCTCAACTGGAAGCTCCAATCCTTGGGCTTCGGGGCTCAAGAAACATCATGCTTCTCTTAACTCTGCTTGCAGCTTTTTGTAGAATGTTTACCTAACGAGCACAAAGCCCTGGGTTCGAGTCCTAGCACCACGTAAACTAGGCAGAGTGGGTATGCCTAAAATCCCAGCCCCTGGGAGATAGAGACAGAAGGACTGAAAGTCTGAGGTCATCCTTGACTAGACAGTGAATTTAAGGCCAACCTGGGCTACATAAGACTCTTATCGTTACCAGAAAAAAAAAAAAGGAAGGAAAAAAGAAGTTGTAACTCAGACTGGCTATGAACTGTAGCTGAGGACCATCTTGAACTCCTGATCCTTCTGCCTCCCGCTCCCAAGTGCTGATGAACAGATGTGCACCCCATGACTTCCCACTTACTGAGACACAGCCAGCTCTCATCTGCACATGCTCTCAGTGTTTCTGACACCTGCTGTGTGCTAGACAGTGCCAGGCCGAGGTCTCGAGAGGAAACGATAGGGAAGAGATCTGTAAAGCAGTTGGATGCTGACAACTGAGAGCCAAGTGACATGGAACAGAAGAACCCTGGGTGGGGTGGTGGGGTTTCAGAAACTTCCCAGAGGACTTGAACCAGACCTTAGAAGGGATGGGAGCTTGTCAAGGAAAGAGGGGGTGACGAGAGGGCATGTTTGGCATGTGCTGAGGTGGAGTGAGACCGAGGCTCTACTGGGTAAAGGAGGAAGAAGTGAACCATGGCCTCAGTGGTTGCTGTGTGGGGCCCAGGAGCAATGCTGGAGATCAGGAAGTCCACAAGGGGCAAGGCCTGGGACAGGAGGGGAGGAAAAAGTGGGGGTCAGCCTGTGAGGCCCTTTCCAGAACAGGTACAAGGTGGAACGCTTACACCTTCCCATCCTCCATTCAAGTGATGAGGATGCCACTCCTGACAGTGAGGTGTGACAGTATCTTGGTGGTGGTTCTCTCCAAACCCTGTTCTATAGCTGTGGCTATCCCATCTCTAAAAGGAAATGAGGTGTCCGGAGCAGAGTCAGAATGGAGGACTCAGAGGAATCATTTCACCGGCTGAGTTGACGCCGCCTCACTCCGGAATAGTGGAGCAGTGTCATGTCTTATGATTTAGAGTTTAACTGATTGTGGGGACCAGGGGCACCCCACTAGATGGGATTTGGTTTACTCTGAGTGGCGTGAACTTGGGGAAGCCATTTCCTGCTGGGCCTCTGCTTCTTTACCTGCAAGGCGAAGACAAGTGCTGGTCTTCTGCAGGGCTTGGGAACACAGGACAGGACAGTCCCCGGGCTCCGCCCCTCCTGCTGGAATCGATCTGACATGGATGCCATTTATAAAGCAGGCTGTGAGGATGCAGGATTCCAGGTCTGTGTGAAGCTGGTGATATAAGGGTTTCCTTTGACAGGAATCCCTAGTCAGGCTGGACGACACAGTGGCTGTATTTTTCTTTTGCTCTGTGGAGTTTTAGTCCTTTTCCTGGTTCCAGGGAACCACTAGCCTGAATCTTGGGATTCCTTACAGTTGATGTTTCTCTTAGATTTGGGACTGTCTTTCAAAGACAAATTTCCATAATCTATAAACGAACACCATCTGGCAAGTAGGAGGACTTGGATTGTTTATGAAGCTCTGAGAGTGCAGAAGAGAGCCTGGGAGGGTGGGGTCCTGTACCCTAAAGCAGGTCCTCATTCCTTCTTCTGACGTGATTTTTGCTACTAATAAAATATGACCATGTCTGTGCAGCACGGCCCCTCCCATGCACACCCTTGTGCCTTCCTACCCTGCACTCGGCTCCATCCCTGCAGACCACAGGTAAACTACTGGTCTTTAGTGAATACTATGTGTGCTGTTTGTTATTCAACAAGGACATTTTGGATCCTGAAAAAGCAAATAAACATCTCATGTAACTTGGGAACCTAGCAAGTCCTTCATACAAACTTCTAATTTTGTCTCCTTTTCTTTACATAAAGTACTAAGACTAGCCAACAAAACACTGAGAAGCCTCATGGAGCTGGCAGCAGTGATCATGAACTAGTTAGATGTAGCCACACGGTACCTCTCAGCAGCAGAGTGGTGATAAGGCAAGCCGAACAAACTCCTGTGTGGTTACTATGCAAAGACACAACATAGAACAGTGGTGAGTCCGGAGGGAAGGGTGTGTGGATGTGAGGGACTGGGACATGAACTTCTCTGGGAGGACTGCAGGTTCTCTATTTCTAGACCTGGCTGACTGCTACACAGATGTCGACTTTAAAATAGTCTAAGTTGGTTGTACATCTGTGTTTTATGTACCTTTCTGTTTACATTCCATTAAAATGATCCCTTTTTTAAAAAAAGTTACGTTCAGTCCCCAGAACCACCAAAAATTTCAAAAAGCTAAATAACTCCCTATTACAGATAAATTCATTCCATCCCACATGTATCCCAGAGGAAAAAGATGGGAGTATGAGAAGACATAGAGAATGAAAAGCAGCTCAGAGCTGACCAGCAACCCTGTCTAGCTAAGCTGGCAGACAGGTCACGCACTGGCTCATCCGCCAGTGTGGCCACTGAGGGACGCACACGGCACCAGGTGGATGCATCTGGGTGTGCCTGTGAGGGTTTCCAGAGAAGTCTGGGTGCGGGTCAGTGAGCTAAGTGAAGACCTATCTATAATGTGGGTGACTGGAAAAGGGGGAAATGGCCTAATTCTTGTTTTCCAAGTTACACACGTAAGCTCTACAGATCTTAGATACATCAAACCCTTTAGATCTGCTGGTTCCTTACAATGGCCTGTGTAAGAACAGCACTTAAGACTACTATCAAAAGCCACAGACAAGACTATGAATGCTCTTCCTTTTTTTTTGCTCTTGTTGTTGTTTTGTTTTTATTTTTAGACAAGGTCTTACCATGTCTTGGAACTCACTATGTAGCGCTAGCTGGCCTCAAACTCAGAGAGATCTGCCTGCTTCTGCCTCCTGAGTGCTGAGATTAAAGGCGTGTGCCACCACACTCAGCTTTCTGTCCGCTCTTATTTCAACCCTACTACCAGCTTCTTAGTACTAAAAAGGCTGGGTATTTTTACCATCATGGAATGGAAAAAAAAAAAAAACACTTACATGTTGTAACACACAGGTCTGTGATCCTAGTACTCAAGGGGCTTATAAGAAAGACTAACCTGAGCTGTATATGGAGATTTCATCTCAAACTGCATGCTGCCCACTGCTGTGGGATGTTCTGTATGGCAAATGTGTTGCTGATTAGTCAATAAATAAAACACTGATTGGCCAGTGGCTAGGCAGGAAGTGTAGGCGGGACAAGGAGGAGAATAAAGCTGGGAAGTTGAAGGCTGAGTCAGAGAGACACTGCCAGCCGCCACGATGAGAAACAGCATGTGAAGATGCCGGTAAGCCACAAGCCATGTGGCAAGATATAGATGAACAGAAATGGATTAATTTAAGCTGTAAGAACAGTTAACAAGAAGCCTGCCACGGCCACACAGTTTGTAACCAATATAAGTCTCTGTGTTTTTTTTTTTTTTTTTTGGTTTTTCGAGACAGGGTTTCTCTGTGTAGCTTTGCGCCTTTCCTGGAACTCGCTTTGGAGACCAGGCTGGCCTCGAACTCACAGAGATCCACCTGGCTCTCCTCCCGAGTGCTGGGATTAAAGGCGTGCGCCACCACCACCCGGCCAAGTCTCTGTGTTTACTTGGTCGGGTCTGAATGGCTGTGGGACTGGCAGGTGAGAGAGATTTGCCCTGACTGTGGGCCAGGCAGGAAAACTCAAGCTACAGCCCACTGCCACCAAAAAAAAAAAAAAAAAAAAAAAAAAAAGAGTCAAGTCTGAAGATTAAAAAATTCACATGTATAACTTGTTTCTTTTACCAATTTCAAATTCAATATCAAAGGGTAAAAGAAACAGAAATCCAGAAACATTTGGAAAATTGACCCGTTTTAATTATTTAAAAACAAAAAATACAATACAACATCAAATTTCCCTTACCATCTACAATTGAGTTAAATCCAAACATCCTAAGACTGAACAGTCTCCTGCCCAGAGGCAGCGAATGGTGAGCCGCTGAAGACACACGGGTGAACGCTGAGGATCCAAGTTCCGGCTGCAGGCGGACAGTCTCCAGGCAAACACACGCCAAGGCTCTTCCTTTCAGTTTATTAAGGTGTTTCACAGGAAGTTCTTTCAAACCATCTCATCTCAGGTACCAGGTTTCATCAATGATATGCAGCGCCATAAAATTTGGGTTTCCACCCAATAGGAATAAAAAGCAAGTTTTTACTTTTGTCTTTTTCTGACAGTGTGGAGAAGTCAAATTATCAGTTGACTCCTTTAGTAACATGAAGTTTTAAAAGCAAAGAAAATATCGGCTGTGCTGGGTTCTGGTCTCTGCTTGTCTCTGAGGGTGTGACTTCAAATTGGTTAAATCACATTTACGACACTACAATGATTAGTACTAAATTTTTTTAGATGATATAAAAGAAAATACCAAATAGACATAAAAATGGTCAAAAGTTTTTTTTTTTTCCAAATCGCAGGTCAATTTTTGCCTCCCGCCCAAAAAGATACAAAATGAACATATTGGGATAGTAACTCCATTAGTTATTCCGATTCACCCATGTGTACGTTCCCCACTAAGTAGAAAAGGAACGAACACACATAAGGCTGTCTTAGTACTGCTAGAGTAGTAAGCAGCTGTGTTCATGGCAGCTTGTTTTGGGCCCACTGATCCTCTGATACATGTGGGGAAGCATAGCTGTGTTCTCTGGCTGCCCACATCTGAACACATTCAGCTACCATGGAAACTACAAAGCAAGGAAAATTATACTTATCCCAGGATTCATTTACTGGGATTTTAGAGCGCCCTTTCTTCCTCAGAGCCCGAGTGGTGATGCTGTGCTAGGGGCTGCTGTGTTTTCCAGCATGAGCTCCCATTCTCTGAGGGTCCTGAGAGGGGTAGTGGATTGGTCCTGGAGCCCTCATGAAAGGCGGAGGCGGGTCCCATTGGGTGGAACATATGTGGTCCAAAACCTGATGTGGAAGAGAAAAAATTAGGCTTGCAGTTCCCTTGACAACCTTCCAAACCTGTGAATCTTTCTAAGATCAAAACCACCTACACATAAATCAAGGCTGACATAATGTTAAGTAAATGTCAGTGCACAAGACCTGCTTAGAAGTATCTACCTATATTCCTTGGTTTCCCCTCAGCCCCCAAACCTTCAGACCCATGCACCTGTTAGTATGTCACCCAGCTGTCTGCTACTAATCAAACATCGAAAATCCTACCAGACAGGAGTCAATCAGGATGTGGGAGACCAGAAAGAAACTAGGCTCATGTTAAGATCCTTTCTGCCATCACTGGTCTCAATGCTCCATTCCAGAATGGAAAGACTTTCTTCAAACATACAGGCTCACCATCAAAACAACATTATTAGCCACCACTGTCTCCTACATTATTCACAATGTCATGGACATTCACACAGGGTGCTACTGCTTCAACTGTTTATTAGTGGCCACTGACAGGATAAAGAATATGAGCCCAAATGTAACTCAATTCCATAACCAACTCCATGTATTCACATGACAGTCTCTTTGTAGCAAGTTTTTCTAACAGAAGCAGTAGTTTTACTGATTCCCATCCTGATACAAGGCCCACATCTTGCTGTGGACAGCAAGGACAAAATTTACAATGAGGAACAGACTGGTGGCAGATGGCCATCATGCTGTAACTCCTACCCACGATACCTATGCTCAGATTTATAGAGTGGTACCTTTCCTCTCCTACGAGTCCAGGAGAAGAGGAAAGAATCAGGACTCTCCACCTACCAGCTTTGCCTGGAGACTTCTACAGAGCAAGCACAAAGGACCTAGCTGCCTCAGACTCAACTCAGGTGCAGGACTTTTACAAGAACTTTTCTGGGCCAGAAAGGAAGAAGGCAGTTACCTGGGGGTGGGGGTGGGGCGATCCCAGGGGGTGGGGGTAGGGCAATGTTCACCACTGCTGGAGGGCCACTTGGGGGCAGGTTGAAGTAGTTGGCAGATGCCTCCTCTTCTGCTGCAGGAGGAGGAGGTAGAGCTGGAGAGGAGATAGCAGACACTTAGAAGGGCAGACAATCAACACCACATTCCTACTGTTTATGTCCTGGTTTGCTGCACAGCTGACAGAGTCAAGCCCAGTCTCTCCTAACAGAGAAACGCCAGCGGACTGAGTTTGCATCAGCAAGAAGTCCACACTCACCTCCAGGGAGTCCTGGTACAGGCTCTAGCTTGATCCCAGAGTCTGTGGTTCCGTCCTTCTCCTTTTCTTTCCCTCTGGCTGCTTGGGATCTGGAGACATACATGCACAGGACATCAGCACCCTGTCCGGCTTTCTTTCACACGCCTGCTTAACTCATTCCCCAGGAAAATGGAGTTCCATCACTCCTGCCCTTTTTAGCAAACACTCTTCTCCCACATTGACAAAGTGTAGGGTGTTAACTAAAAGCAAGGTTTTTGATGGTGGGAAGGTCTGGGTTCAAAGCTACAATCATTGGCCAGGTGTGGTGGCCCTCGCCTTTAATCCCAGCACCTAGGAGATAGAGGCAGGCAGATCTCTATGAGTTCTAGGACAGCCTGGTCTACAGAGTGTGTCCGAAACATTCTGGGCTGCACAGAGAGATCCTGTCTCAAACAACCCAAACCCAAACCACTATCATCATTAGAGAAGACAACATCCATGTGGGCAGCAAGTGCTCAGCATAGAGAGAGCATTCCACCAAGGGAGCTGCTGTCAACCTCCTCTCTGCTTCCAAGAGGGACACAGAATCCCCTTCGAAATTTAGGGAATGTTATTTATCTCTCTTACGCAGTCAATTTCAAACTCAAAACAGATATTCTTCTGTTTATCCCTTTCCCCACTTCCCCAGCACTCAGCCTCTGATGCAACCGAAACCCTCAACATCTACCTCTGGCAACCTGGCATTATGCTTGGCTCACAGTGGCTGTAAAACATGAAGACCTTCAAAGGAGCAGGTTACTGGAGCAAGACCATGAATACAGTTCTAAAGTTAAGATGCTTCCAACAGCCACAGCGACCAAACACTACAGAAGCGGCTGGAGGGATGGCTCTGCTGTTAAGAGCCCTGGGTGCCTTTCAGAGGACACTGGCTCAGTTCCCAGCACCCACGTGGTGGCTCCTAACTGTCTGTAACTCCAGTCCCGGGGGATCCAACACCCTCTTCTGGCACCAAGCCCACAAGTGGTGCACAGACACATGTGTGCCAAACATGCACACACATAAAGTCACTAAAATAAAATACTAGAGAAGGATCGTCTAGGGACTTTTAAAGGCCCCAACAGAGCTGTTTACACAAGTCTCCAGTAGAACACAGTTGAGAACAGTCTTCATACCTTCCCCACTTGACATTGAGTCTGCGGCCATTCACGATCAGCTTGTTAAAGGACTTCTCTGCAGCCACCTCAGCAGCCTGCCTGGTGGCAAACTGGATGAAGGCACACTGCTGCCTCTGCACAACCGTGATTGTGCGGATCTCCCCAAACTGGTAGAAGTGGTTTCTGAAGGAACACAGGCCGAGGAGAACAGGTTAGCAACCCAGATGCTGCCTTGGAAAATGGAGACGGGCTATGAACTTAGAATGTTCTGATCCACCACTAGACAGCTGGCCCCAGGGACATAGGCCTGTCTTTTGGTTTTCCTTGTACCTGGCCCTAATGTAGGTGCTACTTATTGGAGATAAAAGGAAACTTAAGAAGAGTTCTCATGTATCTCTGGATTTTTCTTGTGGAGGAGAGGAGGTGCTTTACTTGGTTACTCAAGAGCCATACTTTCTTAGTATAAGGCACTGGCAAACTACAGCTCTTATGGTCCATGAGCCAAGATTGTTTGCATTTGAGATTGAGCCTTGTTACGGTACACAGGTTAGTTCTGAACTCACAGGGTCAGGTGACCTTCCTGCCTCAGCTGGGACTGCAAGCAAACACTACCATGCCCAGCCATCGTCAAGAATGCTTCAAGAATGTTTAAGAGGCCAGGCAGTGGTAGCACAAGCCTTTAATCCCGGCACTCGGGAGGCAGAGGCAGGTGGATCTCTGTGAGTTTGAGGCCAGCCTGGGCTACAGAGTGAGTTCCAGGACAGGCACAAAGCTACACAGAGAAACCCTGTCTCGAAAAAAACCAAAAAAAAAAAACCAAAAAAAAAAAAAAAAAAAAAGTTTAAGAGGACTGTGTAGCTCAATGGCAGAGAATACTTGTCTGGGATGCATGAGGCCCTCAGTTCAATTCTTAGCACTGGAAAAATAAATAAATACAAAATAATCAATGAAATAAAAAAAATGTTTAAAACTGAAGAGAAGGAAGAAAGTGGAAGACAAAGGAGAAAGCCAAGTGTGGTGACCCACGTACAGACCCTAGTACTAGAGAGTGGGGAAAATAGTGAGTTCCAGGCCAGGCTAAGCTACATGACAAGACCCTGTCTCAAAACAACGAAAACAAATAAATAAACGAACAGACAAATAAACACGACAAGTCAGGTCCCGTGGCTAACACCTATCACTGCAGTACCCACGAGGGGGAGGCAAGCGGGTCAGGAGTTACGGTCATATGAGTTCTCCAGGCTAGCCTGAGCTGTAGGAAACTCTGTATCAAACCCCCAAACAAACAAAAAAGGGAGCACTATCCAGAAGAGATCACATGTGCTCCATGGAGCCCAAAGTATTTTCTCTAGCCCTTTTATAAAAAGTTAGCTGGCCCCTGGAGATCACTAGCTCAATGAGATGGGGTTTGATGGAGACAGGCCACCAAGGGCAGGAGTTTCTTCTCCACTTCATCTCACTGAGAGAGATATCTCATCTAGTCAAGCACAGAATAAGCCAGAAATACAAATTAAATCAGAATCTCTGCTAAAAAGGCACTAATTTAAATAAAAAAGTTTTAGAGTCACAGGGCTTGCTACCCTCCATAAATAATCAGATATGTATGTGTGTGTGTGTGTGCGCGCGTGCGTGCGTGCGTGCGTGCGTGTGTGTGTGTGTGTGTGTGTGTGTGTGTGTGTGTAGAATTCAAACTAGGCCAGGCCTTGGTGGCGCACACCTTTAATCCCAGCACTCGGGAGGCAGGGCCAGGTAGATCTCTGTGAGTTCGAGGCCAGCCTGGTCTACAGAGTGAGATCCAGGACAGGCACCAAAACTACATGGAGAAACCCTGTCTCGAAAACCAAAACAAAACAAAAAACAACACCCCCCAAAAAAGAAGTCAAATTAGAGGCTGGAGAGATGACTGAGAGGTTCAGAGCACACGCTGCTCTTGCAAAGGACTAAGTGTGACTTCTAGCACCCATGCCGAGTGGCTCACTGCTGGAACTCCAGCTCTAGGAGGCTCTAACACCTATGGCCTCTCGGGGTGCTCACAGCCACTTGCACAAGCACACACACACATCACGCCCATACGCAGTAATTAAAAGAATCCAAGTTGACCACTAGGCCCATAACACGAAAAAGCACTCATGAGAAATGCAGCTACACTGGCATCACAAAAAAGAATTTTATGAAATTTTCAGTCAGCATTTGTATCAAATGATAGGCTGGCTAAAAAAAAAAATGAACTTGATTTAGAATTATCATGCTTGGTGGTGTTTTTGCAAACTATTCCAACGCAGTTAAAAGCAAAGAGAATTTTGAAATGACGCCCACAAACCTGAGATCTGTTTCAGTAATGGTGTCTCCCAGACCACCCACATATAGTGTGGTAATGGTCTTATCCTCTGGTGGGTCTAGACGAGGCATGGTTGAAGCTCGCTTTAGAAGCTTATCGGCTACAGGGTCATTAATTCCATAGTACCGGTCTTTTATATTCTGATCGGCAAGGGGGTCATCTGGATCGGTAGGCTTCTCGTGTCTAAGATTCACCAATGAAAACAGCACAAAGTGAACCAAAGGGAAAAGATCACTCTACAGTAGCTACATGATAGAGTCCTCAACTGCCTTTCAGACTAGAAACCACGTCTATACAAAAATACTGTTTAGTAAGAGAGCAAATGGCAAGGGATTACTATACCACGTAAAGACTTCCCGATCCTCTAAGTAATCCACTTACGCTGCTGGAATAGAATCTGATTAAAGCTATGGATTTCACCTCAGAAAAAGGGCATATATATGGGGGTGCATGTTACAGTTGACAAATCATTAGCTGGAACCCCTAATTCTGATGCTTGGCAGTCTCAGCTGAAACAAAAGTAGCCTGCAGAAGTCTGGTCTTATTTTGACTTCAACTATACTTTGCTATTCAAACCATTTAAATGATGGCACTAAATTATCTTAGAAACTTCGGTCAGCATGTATATTATATGATAGAGCAATTTCTCGTAGTTAAGTAGAAAACATAATTTAGCTAGGCTCCTGTAAATATAATAAGCTTTATTTTATTGCACGAGATACTCTACATGTAAACAGACTGTAAGAGCTTTAGATGCTAAAGCATGAGTTTAAGCTGGAATTTCCCACTAATCAGTTGTCTGAAAGCAAATACAGAAAGCAAGGCTCAGCTCTTACCTGTAGGGACACTCCTCTCCTCTCTTACACTCTCCTTTCACCCAGAAGGAACAAATGTGGGGCCGATTCCGTTTGTAGTACGGTGTGGTCCGGGCCAATTTGAGCAGCATGTCACTGGTGGATGTAGCTTTTCCCAGCATGCCAACTGGTCGTGTTCCATCAGAGTTAGAAATCTGCACGAAGAGGACAATTTTATTGGCTGTCAATTCATTAGGACTTCTATCAAATACAAAACTACATCAATCACAAGGCCCTGGATTCAATTCCCAGCACCACACATAAACAATATATCCCCCCAGACAAACAATGACATCAAGAAAGTGGCCAGAGGACCAGGAAGTCTGGTGGGAGATTGTGTTTCCTAGAAATGACAGGGAAGCTACACCATGATATCCCAACAATACAGCTGCCTAAATAAAGACAGGAACAATAGATATACTAACTTGATGGTGTGGTGGCGTATGGCTTTAACCCCAGTATTTGGGAAGAGGCAGGCTTTCTGAGTTCAAGACCACCCTGGTCTACAGAGTGAGTTCCAGGACAGATAGGGCTACAGATAAACCCTGTCTGAAAAAAAAAGAAAAAAAGGAAAAAAAAAAAGTTCTAGATATACTAATTAAAAAAGGGGAAATCTCATGGATCCCATTCCTAGACAAAGAACTACAGGCAACTAATGACTGCTGATAGAGAATTAGTCTCTTCTGGGGATGAGCTCCTTAACTAGTTATCCAATACAAAGTGGTCAGCCTCAAAATCATATACATATAAGCCACATTAAATGGACTCAGCAGGTTGTATTTACATGTTTGCTCATGCGCACACAAAACCAATAATAATCAAAGAGGCCATCAATGGGGGTGTTGGAAGGGGTTAGAGGGGTTGGAGAGAAGAAGTGATACAATTAGATTTTAATTAAAATAAAAAACATACTTCTCTTTCCATATTTTGTGTGTAATATTCTTTGTTGACATCTGATTTGGGCATGTCATCTTTAAATGACAATCCTGCATCGCGAACTTGGATGGGTAGGCCTGGTACAAAGAAATGGAGGAAAAAACATCATATAGATTTGAAAACACATTCATACTGAATATGTACATAAACTACAATATCATCCTTCCCTTCTCTTTCTTACTTGGTGGGGGCTAGAGAAATGGTCCAGTGGTTAAGAGTACATACTGTTCTTGCAGAGGGCCAGAGTGGAGTTCCTTCTAACATGCAGGGTGGCTCACTGTAACTCCAGCGTCAGAAGATGACACCCTTTACTGGACTCAGCCCTGCACTCACATGTACACCCCACATATACACATAATTAAAAACAATTTGATTTTTAAAATGGTGACAGTTTACAATATTTTAAATCAAACTGTTTAGCACCATCAGGCTAACAACTGCTACAGAGCATCCTAAGAAATTGTCCAAATTCCTGTGCTGTCATGGAATTTGGTGAGGTGAATGCTTTACAAAATTGCTTCAAAGAATACTTTAGCCACGGCAAATTAAGTTAATAATGTATCTAGCTTTAACAAATTTATTTCAAATACACATAACACAATGGTTTATTGTTAGATTGGTCTTGAAGGCCCTATGGATAGCCAGTTATGTTAAGGGGTCACTGTACTCCAGGTCTGAATGCTCCCGACAAACATGAATCAATATTAAACAATATATAGCCAGAACTGATTAGCACACATAAACATAAACACACAGACACACAGACGTGTGCACACTTTCCCTTGCTGGTAGACTACTTTTTTTGAAAAGGAAAGTGTCAATGTCCAGAGCATAATTAGCCCAGGAAATTCTGGTTGGGACTGTGAGGAAAGTTTTAGATCAAGAAAAAGGCCTAGGCAAAGAAATAGCCTATCATAGGAACAATGCCTTTTACCCCAACTAGCTATAGAGACGGAGGTGTAGGCCAGTTCTGATTTCTTCCCAATGGCTCCTGAAGTTCCTACTATTGTTCAGAAGGACTCCACAGAAGCCTAACTGTGAGTTTACGCCTGGGAAAAGCAGATTACAGCGGGATCAGAACCAGTGATGGGGAGAAGTGGGAGGCATCAGGCTGGTGTCTTGTTCAGGGCACGTGTACACTTCCAGGTCTAGCGGATGTGGCAAACATACCATACTCTAGGTCTAACAGGCAGGTCTGACAAACATTCTTCAATTTACTGCAGGTTTGGCACACTTCAGTCTTCTTGAAGCGCATGCGGACCCCAGGGCACCAGCGAAACACTGTGAATGGTCTGGCACAGATCTGAACACACACCAAGAGCCATAGAATAGAATGTTAATGGTCCTGACCTGGACTCAATCCAGATTTACTAGGTATGGGGAGTTGACCTTAGCAACCACCTAAACTATATGCCAGCTAACCCTCAACTCCATTTACTTTCTCTTTTCTAGCAGTTAAAAAGCTCACAAAGTACAGAAATAAATATCCAGAAAGTCAAAGCCCTACCACCTAGCGGCAAACATTAAGAATCTGACTCTCTGTTTTTGGTGGGGAACAGGGAAAGCGAAGCAGGAAATATTATCTCTTTGAGACTGTTGTGACAGTCCCAACCCCCCTCTTCAGCTGAAATGCTTCTGTGTAGCAGTCAAACAACACCTGGGACACTAACTCATGGTCATCAGTGCAGATTCAGACACCTGTTTATGAATCTACATTAAAAGGATCCTTTTCTTATTTCCAATACTAGTTGTCAGCCACTGAATATATTCAATGACACATGAAAGCTGTGAGCGTGAACTCTGACCAAAGAACCTCAAAAGTTAGTAAGTACAAAGCCACTTTGGTAGAATACAGGGAAGAAAAGGGATCAAGAAAATGAAACAGTCACTTCTTAATAGACATACTTACTTTGCATTCTTTGCCATACTTTTCTTTGGTCTGAAACAGAAAAGAACTGGAATTACAGAAGAAAAAACAGACAAACAAAACTAACCCAGGTATCTGTTTTTTACCCCCGCCCCAAGTACAAAACATGATGCGTCTGGAGATTACTGGCATTGTGAATAAAGATAATCAAACCAAACCTAAGTCATCCTTTAGTTGGGGTATGGTAAGGGATTCTGGAAGGTTAAATCTAATTGTCAACTTGACATAACCTAGAATGAGCAGGGAAGAGTCCTGATGGTGGACTGTCTAGACCACATCAGCCGGTGGGCATGTCTATGGGGGTGTGTCTTGCTTTCTTTAACTGATGTGGAAGAGCCAGCCTGATCGTGGGCTGCACCATTCCAAGAGTTTGGACCCTGGATCCTGTACGTGAAGAAGGGGCTCAGCACCAGCATGCACACATGCATTCATTCTTTGCTCTTGACTTGAATGTGATGTAACCAGCTGCTTCAAGTTCCTGTTGCCCTGACTGCCCCACAATGATGGGCTGTAAGGCAAAATAACTGCCCCCGCCCAAGTTGTTTTTGTCAGGGTATTTTATCACAGTAAGAGAAGTGAAATTAAGACAGATATACCAACAAGGTCATATTCTCCCAAGAGTACATGGAACTAATACCAAGAAAGTGTCTTTGGAGCTACAACTCTTACATTTACTTCTGCCTCTCAAGAACTAAAATTTCTAATGGAAACACCATATGTTTTCTCTTACACGTGGAACCTAGATTTCAAATTGTTCTTGTGTATGTGTAGATCATGAACTAGAAAAGGGATCCTGGATGGGAAGAGTGTGTGTGTGTTTGGAAGCTGGATAATAAAACAGGTATTAGAGCTGGGCGGTGGTGGCGCACGCCTTTAATCCCAGCACTCGGGAGGCAGAGCCAGGCGGATCTCTGTGAGTTCGAGGCCAGCCTGGGCTACCAAGTGAGTTCCAGGAAAAGGCTCAAAGCTACACAGAGAAACCCTGTCTCGAAAAATCAAAAAAAAAAAAACCCCAAAAACAATAACAACAACAAAACAGGTATTAGAAAGAAGGGCAGCTGGGCATTGTGACGAAAGACTTTAATCCCAGCACTTGGGAGGCAGGAGCAGGAGAATCTCTGTGAGTTCGAGGCCAGCCTACAGAGTGAGTTCCAGGACAGCCAGGGATATACAGAGAAACCCTGTCTTGAACTTCCCAACCCCATCCCCCCAAAAAAGAAAGAAGGGTAAACTGAGGGAAGCCAGAAAACTAGCCAGTAAGGGGCAGGAAGAAAGGTGGAGGGCAGTGGAAGAGGGAATTACTGAAAACAAATGTATGAAAAAATGACAAAATGAAACCCATTACTCTGTACACTAACCTAAAAAATAAAAATCAGTTCTGGGAGGTGGCTATTTCAAGGGCTATTTTGTTTTCTAGGTGAAAACTTCCAATTTCCAGCACATGTTTCCCTTTGACCACTCTTTGAGGAAACTGGTTTAAACACCTTCCATCCACCTGGCTGGTAGACCTTATGTGCTTGGTGGGGCTGGCATGGTCGAGGAGAATCAAGCCTGGAGATGGCGGCACCTAGAGCTGGAATGGCTTCCCAAAGCATCTACTCCTGAACTTTGGTTGGCAGCTTTTTTTCCAGCATAGTTCTCTAGGCCACTGGTTTGAAGGAGGTAGACAGTGGGGGAGAATGGTGCTTTAGGAAAAAGACAAGGTCTCAATACACAGCCCTGGATAGCGGATAGCCTGGAACTTGATTTGCAGACCTGAATGGCCTTGAACTCACAGAGATCCACTTGCCGAAAGGCTGGGATCAAAGGCAAGAATCCTCATTCATGGCCAGTTTAGGAATCTTTGTTTTACAACCAATTATGTCTATCAATAAAAAAAAATTATTAGAGTCAATGTAAGAACTATGATTTTTTACTTCTTTTTTTTTTTTTTTGGTTTTTTCGAGACAGGGTTTCCCTGTGTAGCTTTGCCCCTTTCCTGGAACTCGCTTTGGAGACCAGGATGGCCTCGAACTCACAGAGATCCGCCTGCCTCTGCCTCCCAAGTGCTGGGATTAAAGGCGTGCGCCACCACCGCCCGGCAAGAACTATGATTTTACATTAGAACATGGACATGCAATTTGATCTCTCATATGTGTTAACTGACGGGTTGAATATCAAATTCTTTTGGCGTGAAAACCAAAATTCCTAATGGTTTCCCCAGTGCCCAAATCAAGTAGGAGGAAGTCAGAGCCAAGTTTCTACAGTTTGCTCAGAAGGTAACTGTGCTGGCCTCTCCTGTGCCGATGCACCGTATATATCCTACATTCTGTTCCCATAAACCATCCAGTTAGCATCTCTGAGGCTGATCACAACATATAATCCTAAGATAATCATGTTGACTCTTTTGTTTGTTTGTTTTTTAAACCCTTTTGGAAAACGACAAAGTGTATCTTAAACTAGATAGACTACCAGGTGCAGTGGCTGAAAGGCACACGACTAGGAGTCAGGAAGCAGAACTACATAAAGACATACTTTCCCGTCAACAGACCTACTTTCCATGTAGATGCTCAACAAGTATTAGCTGTTATGTTACGTCTCCTACATTACAGAATTATTGCTCAGTGTCTAGGAGAGGAAGTACGCATGGCATTACCTTGCAAGTTGTCCCGTACTTTGGGTTAGTAAAAGAGCATCAATTCTTCTAATGGTCAAGAGAAATACTTTACAATCGGCGTGCAAGGACCACGATATAATGTACAGTTCACTCCCGCTGCACAGGCAAGCACTCACCATTCGTATATAAGGGTTTTCTCCAAGACACGTCTGACACAGTATAGGGAAGTCCTGGAGAAAATGGGAAATCTGATTGAAGAGCAAGTCCCGAAGACCCTGTTCCCTCAGTCACTTTCTGGGGCGGGGAAGGGTGCAAGGTTGGCAGAAGCCCCAGCTCCCGGCACTGGCCGCGGAGCGGGAAGGGGCGCTGTCTGCACTTCCGGCAAGCGGAAAAGAAGAAAGCATCTGGGAAGTGTGGAGTCGCCGGGCGGACAGCGCCAGTCCCGGGACCCTGGTCCGCCGCACGAGGGCTCTCCTCCCGGCTGCCCCGCCGAGCTAGGCCGCAGCGCGGCTCTGGCCGATCCCGCCGCAGCCCGGGGCATAGTCTCCCATCCCGCCCGGCCTCGCCGCCCCCGCGTCCTTCTCCGGCGCGCACTCACCGCGTCCTCCCAGTTCTGCCTGTTGTAGGTGTTGGAACCCAGAGAGGTCGCCATATCGGGAGTCCCGAGGCAGCGCCGGCTTCCGATTCGGGAGACCGACCGCCACAATCCCGGCAGGCTCCGGGCGGGCGGGCGCCGCGCTACGTCTAATCTGCGCGCCTAGGGCGGCCGCGGGGCGGGGCCTCGCGTCAGAGCGCGGCGGTCCACGGCGCTTCCGCCCGGCTGCCCGGCGCGCGTCCCGGCTGCCGACGAATAAAGCGACGGATCGGGGGCCACCGGCCGAGGCTGGGGTCGAGACGCGGTTAGTCGCAGCCAGGCGCTGACGCCTGCGCCTCTCATGTTCCCAGTGGCCCTTCCGTTGTTATATTTAGCACCCAAAAGCACAGAACGTCTAGTAAGTGTACTGTAGACGACAACGAATCTCTTGGCATTCCTTTATGCTAGAAGCGGATTCCTTATCAGGAAATCACATGTATGTAGCTAGATAATCCTGTATCTTATGTTGCCACCTTACCATTATGGCTAGGATGCTGATTCCTCTTTTATAAAAAAGGAAATTGAGATTAAGATGAATTAACCTTTTATGTATTTATTTTTTAAGGTCCTGGAGCTAAAAACCGATGAATCCACAGATCCCAAGGCATTAGTTTTTCTAACTTCCGACATGAAACAGGTCTTATAAGTCAGCGCTTTCGAGTTTTTAAACTCTCAACCATTCTACAAATATTTTGAGAGTGGGTCACAATATGGAGTCTTGAACTTCCTATGTAGACTAGGCTGGCCTGGAACTACAGATCCACTTTCCTCTGCCTCCTGAGTGCTGAGGTTAAAGGCATACACTATCATGTCCCTTTCTATTATTTCTTTTTTATCTTGGGGCTGGGTCTCACTAAGTTGCTCTCCGGCCTTGAACTACCTCTGTAGCCCAGGAAGGCCCTATCTGAGTTTGTAATATTCTTTCCTCAGTCTCCCATGTAGCTGGGATTATAGGTCTGTGCCACCAGGCCTGATCATTTAATATTTGACCTAATCAATCACCAAACTGCTCAAAGATTTTCAGTTATGACTTTTTTTTTTTACATACATTCACCATACACTTTCATCATCCCAAAGTTCTGATGTGCTTGTAGGCAGTCAACTGAGCCCCACATTCAGCCTACAGTAATGACTGATTTATGTTCTGTCCCCATACTGATCCTCCTGGATTTAATTTTTTTCTTTTTTTTTTGGTTTTTCGAGACAGGGTTTCTCTGTGTAGCTTTGCGCCTTTTCCTGGAACTCACTTGGTAGCCCAGGCTGGCCTCGAACTCACAGAGATCCGCTTGGCTCTGCCTCCCGAGTGCTGGGATTAAAGGCGTGCGCCACCACCGCCCGGCTTGATCCTCCTGGATTTAAGATGGATTATGTCCTATTGAGCCCCATGGTGTAGAGTTTGAACGATCTAGTCAACTGAACTGGGTCTGGATTGTGTTGTTTTGATGGTTCCTGTCAGTGTATCATGGCTTTCCTATCCTCTGTCATTGTTCTTTAGGTTTCTCAAATGTCCATGCTTCATCCTTCAGCTTATGTCTGCACAGTAGAGATGTCCTTTCGTACCCTTGCCAAGCTTCCAGAAACTGAAGCATGTTCCTGTTTGCTAGATTGGTAGTACAGAGATAAAGGAGTTCTGTCCCTTCTTACAATTCAGTTTGTGTTTAGTAGGCTTTTTGACTGGGTCTTAGAAATCCTTTCTCAGCTTCCTCCCCCTTCTCTTCTTTCTTCTTTTCTTCTTCCTTCCTTTATATTTATTTCACCTCAGCGAACAGTTTCTGAATATTTACTACTCTTAATTCCTAGAAGTTAAAAAGATAATTAAAACTTTTTAATAACAGTTAATCAAGATAGACATTTCTCCACTGTGGAAAAATACCAAATATCTCAGAGTAGCCAGTCTGAATCTAGCGGAGATGGTAATTATCCAGGGCACGGTTCTTTTACTTGGTCCTGACATCTTCTGTGTTTAGCTTCCATGTTGGTACTATTTGGCTTTAGGCTTCATATCTCACTTTGGCTTATTTATATTGAACCTACATTGTCTCCTAAAGCAGGAGGAAGTTTCTGCCCTTCCTACAGTGGTGGACAGAGGGTGTTGGTATAGAGTTGTCTCAGAACTGAATCTTGTCTTTCCCAGGGACACTGTCTGTCTGTCTGTCTGTCTGTCTGTATCTATCTATCTATCTATCTATCTATCTATCTATCTATCTATCTATCTATCTATCTATCTATGCTTCAGCAGAAATGTGCCTTTATCTGGGGAGACAGATTTTTCTTTTCCAGCGGTTTAGGCTTTCTGTTTTTTTTTTTTTTGTGGTTTTTTTTTGTTTGTTTGTTTTGATAAGAGCTTGGGGAGGGAGGCAAAGTTTATGTCTCTCCTATAGCACACCTGCTATATTCCCCTAAATCAAGCAACACTCTGCCAAACTTGCCACCTCTGGAGGTTTTAGAGCTTGTGAGTGCACACAAGTTAGTTCTCTTCAAGTCTTAGGATTACAGTTACATGGTATCATATTGGCTCCTATTTGGCCATTAGCAATTCCTTAGAATTTTGGTTGATTTCCTCACTCCTATCCATATGTGCTATATGCAGTGGTTTGAATAAGAATGACTTCCATAGGTTCATATGTTTTAATACTTGGACCTCGGTTTGGGAATGATTAGGAGGCATGGCCTTGGAGGAAGTGCATCATAGGGAGGGGGCAGGCTTTGAAACTTCAGAAGCGTCCTAGCTCTACTGAACTCTCAGCCTCCTGCTTGCATTTTGAGCTGTGAGCTCCCAGCTGTTCCTGCTCCCATGCCTTTGCTCCACCATCATGGACTCTGACCCTCTGGAGCTGTAGGCCCAAATAAACATGTTCTTTTATAAGTCGTCTTGGTTACAGTGTTTTGTCACAGTGATAGAAAAGGAACTCATACACTGCGTGTCCTCTGTCTTAGAGAATTATGTCCCTTCTCAGAATCTAGATTGTTGGACTGCCCTGCCACTTCAGCTCTCATATAAGAACATTTATGATTTTTGAACATTCACTTAAAAATTCTAAATTATGTGTCTCTGTGTGGATATGTGCACATGAGTGTAGGTGCCCACAGAGCCAGAGGCATCAGGTCCCCTTGTAGCTGGGATTATAGGGGGTTGTGAGCAACTTAGTGGGTTCTGGGAATCTAACTTAGGTCCTTTGTAAGAGCAGTCCACACTCTTAGCTGCTGAACAACCTCTCCAGATCCTCCACTGTGTTTTTGAGTAGAGGTGACACTCTTTACACATACCTATACCATAGGCAGAAGCTTCTGCAGTCAAATCATTTTAATTAAATATGTAGCCTTAAAAACAACAGGCCAGCATAGAAAAATCACAATAAAAAAATCTTTATTGAAAAAAAAAAAAAGAAAACCAACCAACCAACCAACCAGGCCAGGCATAGTGGCATATGTCTTTAATCCCAGAACTTGGGAGGCAGAGGCAGGTGGATCTCTTTTAAGGCCAGCCTGGTCTACATAGTGAGTTCTAGGACCGCCAGAGCTACATAGTAAGAACATGCCTTAAAAACAAAACAAAATAAACACACACACAAACAAGAACAATGATAGAAAGAAGGCAAGAGTTAAGGTAGGGAGAGTATAGAGTGTTGACTTTTAGGCGTGAAATGGATATTGGTCTTAACTTTTTTTTTTTTTTTAATGTGTGTTTGTGCACCATGTGTGTGCAGTGCCCATGGAGGCCAGAAGAGGGTGTCAGTTCCCTTGATACTGGAGTTACACATGGTTGTTGTATAAACTGAAGATGTGGCTGCTCCAAGGTATGGTTAAGCAGGCTTTAATTGTAGATATGAGGGAGAGAACAGCCAGAGGCATCTGGAAGAGTCTAGAGCAGACAGAAAAAGTAGTCGACTGAAAATGGTCACTAGACTGGACCTGGCCAAGAGAGGAGAGAGGGAGAGAGCAAGAAAGAAAGACAGAAGAGAGGACCAAGAGAGGACAAGAAGATCAAGAGAGCACATAGCCGAAATATGAGAAGGAGAAATGAGTAGCTGGAGGAAGTGAGTGGCCGAGGGGAGGGAGGCCCTTGAGCTGGAGAAGTTTAGGGTAAGGGGTGAGAAAAGCCAGGATGCCAGCATAGACTCTGAAATGTGTAACGGGAACTTGTGATACTGAAGGAGCCTGGAGGCCAGCATGCACTTTGGTGTGTTAATAGGCACCTCAGATGGCCATTTGTCCCTTCTGCTGATGATAAGGAAATGGCTCCTTTTGGTAGAGGGGAACCAGCTTCACAAGTTCCTGAGGAATGCTGGCTTTTTGTCTGTTGCAGACTATTTGTTTAAGTATGTACAGATGTGTTGCTGTATTACCTTGCCTGCCTAAGGCACCCGATTGATCTAATAAAAAGCTGAATGGCGGGCTGGAGAGATGGCTCAGAGGTTAAGAGCACCGACTGCTCTTCCAGAGGTCCTGAGTTCAATTCCCAGCACCCACATGGTGGCTCACAACCATCTGTAATGAGATCTGGCACCCTATCTATTCTGTATACAGAATAAATAAATCTTTAAAAAAAAAAAGCTGAATGGCCAATAGAGAGGGAGGAGGTATAGGCAGGACTTCTGGGCAGGAAGAGTAAGTAGGAGGAGGAATTTAGGCTCAGAGAAAGAAAGAAAAAGAGACACCAGGGGTGGGCGAGCCAGACACAGAGGAAACAGGAAAATAGGACATACAGAATGAAAGAAAGGTAAAAAGCCCTGAGGCAAAATGTAGATGAACAGAAACAGGTTAAATTAAGTTAAAAGAGCTAATGGGACAAGCCTAACCTAAGGCCAAGCATTCATAATTAATGATAAGTCTCTGTGTCTTTAATTGGGAGCTGGTTGGTGGTCCAAAGAAAATCCTGACTACATTTGTCTAACAGCCAGAATTTGGACCTGACAGTTGTGAACTGCCACGTGGGTTCTGGGAATCAAACACAGGTCTTCTGGACGCAGCCATGACTTGTAACTCCCGACTCATCTCTTCAGTCCTGGCTGGTGCATTCTTGAAATCACCGCATTTATGGTTACAGAAAATCATATATGAAGCAAGGCTGAAATGCAATTGCCTGAGGGTTGGAG